ATTTAGAGCTAGAAAGAATGTTAATTATCATCAAATACCATTTTCTTTTTATTTATTTTTTTTAGACAGACTTGCTCTGTCAACAGGCTGGAGTGCAGTGGCGCAATCTTGGCTCACTGCAACCTCACCTCCTGTGTTCAAGCGATTCTTCTGCCTCAGTCTCCCGAGTAGCTGGGACCACAGGCATGTGCCACCACACCTGGTTAATTTTTTTGTATTTTTAGTAGAGACGGGGTTCACCATGTTGGCCAGGATGGTCTTGATCTCTTGACCTTGTGATCTGCCTGCCTCGGCCTCCCAAAGTGCTGGGATTACAGGCATGAGCCACCACGCCTGGCCCGTTTTCTTTTTTTGAGACAGAGTTTTGCTCTGTCACCCAGGCTGGAGTGCAGTGGTGCAGTCTTGGCTCGCTACAACCTCCGCCTCCCAGGTTCAAGCGATTCTGCTGCCTCAGCCTCCCAAATAGCTGGGATTACAGGCACCTGCCACCACACTGGTCTAATTTTTTTGTATTTTTAATAGAGACAAGGTTTCACCATGTTGGCCAGGCTGGGTTCGAACTCCTGACCTCAAGTGGTCTGCCCACCTCAGCCTCCCAAAATGCTAGGATTACAAGTATGAACCACCGTTACCAGTCTTATCATTTTCAATTCTAAATCTGCATACTCTACTTTTTGTTTTCTCTTTAGAGACAGAGTCTTTCTCTGTTGCCCAAGCTGGAGTGCAGTGGCTATTCACAGGCATGATCATGGCGTACTGCAGCCTCAAACTCTTGGGCTCAAGCAGTCTTCCCACCCCAGCCTCCCAAGTAGCTAATAATATGGATGCATGTACCTGGCTACATACCGTACTTTTTCATGCTGTGATTTGTTTGGCATTTTCTAGATTAATTGTGCAGCAGCATTAGAAAAGAGAATAATGACTTGATCACATCCAAAGCTATCTGAAGTTAATGCTCACTAAGCTCAAGTGAACATTTGGCTGGGTGCCATGTCTCACGTACGTGATCCTAGCACTTAGTGAGGCCAAGGCGGGTGGATCACTTGAGTTCAGGAGTTTGAGACTAGACTGGGCAACATGGTGAAACCTTGCCTTTACAAAATGTACAAAAATTAGTAGTCCCAGCTACTTGGGGGCTGAGGTGGGTAGACTGCTTGAGCCTGGGAGGTCAAGGCTGCAGTGAGCTGTGATTGTGCCACTGCACTTCGGCCTGGGTGACAGAGCAAGATCCTGTCTCAAAAAACAGAACAAACAAAAAGCTTAAGTGAACATTTAATGACACTGATGTACAGAGTGACACAATGTGATAGATTAAAGACAGCATTATATTATGAGTCAGGGGAGCAGAATTCAGGACTTCACTCTACATCTCTGATCAGTTTTCCCATCTACAAAATGAAGGGAGTACACCTCAGGGATGACACATATAAGGTGCATACATTGCCACTTCCTGCTTCCTTACCAACAACTGACAAATAATCACACATGTCATCCTTTTGTTTTGAACCTGGAAGCAGCTCCAGAATCCTTCCCAAAGCAGCTATTACAGTTAGTCACAGTTGACACCCAAGTGGAAACCCATTTGCCATCTTTGGATATGACAATCTGTAAAGACTCTCCTAGGTCTAACTCCCAGAAATATGCCATCGGAAATATGATACCTGCTGAATTCAGCGTGTATTCAGCCTTTTCCATCTCTTTTCTCTGGGCATTAAGTTTATATTAAGTGGGTGCTAGGACATGGATCCGATGATACTCTACTGTTTTTTTGTTTGTTCGTTTGTTTTGTTTTTACTTTATTTATTTTTTGGAGGTGGAGTCTCACTCTGTTGCCCAGGCTGAAGTGCAGTGGCATAATCCCGGCTCACTGCAACCTCCGCCTCCTGGCTTCAGGTGATTCTCCTGCCTCAGCCTCCCAAGTAGCTAGGATTACAGGTGCCTGCCACCACACCTGGCCAATTTTTTTTGTATTTTCAGTAGAGAATGGGTTTAACAATATTGGCCAGACTGGTCTCGAATTCCTGTCCTCCTGCCTCCGCCTCCCAGAGTGCTAGGATTTCAGTTGTGAGCCACCATGCTTCGCTTTTTTTGTTTGTTTTTGTTTTTGAGACAGAATTTCATTCTTGTTGCCCAGGCAGGAGTACAATGGCGTGATTTGGGCTCTCTGCAATCTCTACCTCCTGGGTTCAAGCAATTCTTCTGCCTCAGCCTCCTGAGTAGCTGGGATTAAAGTTGCCTGCCACCATGCCCAGCTAATTCTTTTTGTATTTTTAGCAGAGATGGGGTTTCACCATGATGACCAGGCTGGTCTTGAACTTTTGACTTCAGGTGATCCACCCACCTTGGCTTCCCAAAGTACTGGGATTAAAGGCATGAGCCACCACACCCAGCTGGTTTTTTGTTTTTGTTTTTGTTTGTTTGTTTGGTTTTTAGAGATAGGGTCTTCATCTGTCACCCATGCTATAGCTCACTGTAGCAATCGGTTCACTGTAGCCTAGAATTCCTGATCTCAGCCTCACCCTCCCAAGTAGCTGGGATTACAGACATGGACCACCAAACCAAGCTCAGTTTTTTTGGGGTGTGTGTGGTTTTTTTTTGTTGGTGTAGAGGCAAGTTGTCTTATATTGTCTTGGCTGATCTCCAACTCCTAGTGGCAGGTGATCAACCCACGTCAGCCTCCCAGTGCTGGGATTACAGGCATGAACCACCTCGCCTGGCCCCATATTCTACTCTGAGTCTACCAACCTCACTAGTCTTGAAAGCATGTTCATGCTAATCCAAGGAAAATGCTTGTTTGATTCCTACTGTAAGTAATCTTAATCTTCTTTTCCTCTTGGGGCTTTCTAGATTCTGTTGCTAGGGCATCCTAGTACCATTTGTGTAACACTTTCCCCTATGAAGTTGCCTTCTTTCTTCTTCTTTGGTATATATACATGCATTCACACAAGCTTTTGGGTGTAGCATCTCCTGACTTCCTTCCTGGTCATCAAAATATCTTCCCCAGCTCTGTGCGTGCGTGTGCGTGTGTGCGTGTGCGTGTGCGCGTGTGCGTGTGTTTGTGTGTGTGTGTGTGTCTTTAGAGATAGGATCTCACTCTGTAGCCCAGGCCAGAGTGGGCATGGTGTGATCATAGCTCACTGCTGCCTCCAATTCTTGGGCACAAGCAGTCCTCCCAACTCAGCTTCCTGAGTAGCTGGGACTATAGGTGCGCACCATGATGCCTGGCTTTTTTTTTCCCCCGCTTTTTGTTGGTAGAGATGACATGGCCTCTCAAAGTGCTATAGGTATGAGCCACCGCACCTGGCCCGTGTGTGTCACTGAATGCAGATAGTCGTTTTTTGTTGTTGTTTTGGTGTGTGTGGATTTTTTTTTTTTTTTTTTTTTTTTTTGGTGAGACAGTCTCACTCTGTTGCCCAGGCTGGAGTGCAGTGGCATGATCTTGGCTCACTGCAACCTCCACTTCCTGGGTTCAAGCGATTTTCCTGCCTCAGCCTCCTGTGTAGCTGGGATTACAGGCATGCGCCACCATGGCTGGCTAATTTTTTTGTATTTTTAGTAGAGATTGGGTTTCACCACATTGGCCAGGCTGGTCTCGAACTTCTGACCTTGTGATCTGCCTGCCTCGACCTTTTAAAGTCCTGGATTTACAGACATGAGCCACACGCCTGGCCTGAATGCAAATAGTTTAAAACAGGAAGTTCATACCTGCTCCCTGACCACTCCCAACACTTGTCTAAGCATATTCCTTCTTACTGTCCTATCTCAGTTTCATAATTATTTCATCTCCCTCCTCCTTGATGATTAATAACCATGATAGGTGCTTACAGCATTCATCTTTAGTTCTCGGATATTTCCTGTCTCTTGAGTCTCCACATTGTTTATTTTGGCGTTGTATATTTTATAGTAGAACTGGTTTACAGTTGTGTTTCTCTAGTTTTTTTACCACTGCATCATGCTACAGTTAAAACTGTCAAATGTTTAAGAGCATGCAAGAAAAGAAAGATGTGCCGGGCGTGGTGGCTCAAGCCTGTAATCCCAGCACTTTGGGAGGCCGAGGCGGGTGGATCACGAGGTCAAGAGATAGAGACCATCCTGGTCAACATGGTGAAACCCCGTCTCTACTAAAACTACAAAAAATTAGCTGGGCATGGTGGCGCGTGCCTGTAATCCCAGCTACTGAGGAGGTTGAGGCAGGAGAATTGCCTGAACCCAGGAGGCGGAGGTTGCGGTGAGCCGAGATCGCGCCATTGCACTCCAGCCTGGGTAACAAGAGTGAAACTCCGTCTCAAAAAAAAAAAAAAAAAAAGAAGAAGAAAAGAAAGATGTATCCAAGTCTTAAGAAGCCTTCATTTACTCTTTTCAAAACTTGCATCCTAATGAGTATCAATTCAACATGTCCTTATTTGTCATCTCTGCTCTTGAAGTCAGTGGTAAGGAATGCTGTGCTTGTATGGTAGAAACCAATTTGATCCCTTGATGTAATACCTCAATGAGATCTTTTTACATCTCATTTTACCACTTAATGCAAGCAGGACATTTAAAGGCAAAGGTTTGGCCATGAGTACCTTTGAGACATTTTTTTCCTTTTACCTGGCAGTTGAAATCCAAGGTGTAGGAGTATAATTTCAAACTATCATAAAGATTGTTTTTAAATAACTTTGCTGAAAGGGAGTAAAAGAAAGGATGGTAATCTTAACTTCCTGGTAACCTGCCATAATTTACTGACAATAATTTGTGAGGCAAACAAAAGCAGCACTTGATACCAAATGATTAAACACCACAGAGTATGTTGCAATCCCACCCACAGCCATGAGCTTATCTTCCTGGAAAAGGGAGTGAATGGCCACAGGCTTCCCTCATGGCACAGCTGTTATATCCCCAGTTGAGCTGGTCTGGATAACATCCTGTTCTGTACAGGGAATGGACACAGCAACCCCAGGCTTGGCCACACTGGGGCTGGCTCTTTACAGCTTAAGAGTTTAGAATTGCTGTAAGATAACCACCCGTCTGATAGGGCTTAGGAAATGAGATGAGCTGGGAGGACAAAATATATATATATATAAAACTTAGTCGAAGTATTATACCATAATGTTTCCAGTTGCAGCAAGGAAATAATACAGTTGACCCTTGAACAACACAGGTTAGAACTGCACAGATCCATTTATATGCAGGCTTTTTCCAACCAAACACAGATGGAAAATACAGTGTTTGTGGCATGCAAAACCCCAGTATATGGGGGGCTGACTTTCTGTGTATGTAGGTTCCACAGGGCCTACTGCAGGACTTGAGTATGCACGGATTTGGTTGTACTCAGGGCAGTCCCGGAACCAGTACCCTGCATGCCAAGGGATGACTGTAATGAAAACAGCTCAGTTGTAAAGTGAACATTCATTGTAGACCTGCCCCTTTGCTAAGTGCTGTTTGTGTTACCTTATCTCACTCTCACACCTCAGATGTAGCCATCCCCCTGGAGTTCAGAAAACACAAGCAACTTAAGAGTCACATGGCAGGTATGTGGCAAAGTCAAGACTTGAGCCAGGTCTGTCTTACTCAAGTCTGAGTTTTTAAGCAGTGCATTCTCCTATCTCCTCAAGCAAGCAATATCCCCAAAGAAAAATACTTGCTGGTTTCCAGCTTGCCTTAGCTGCTTAGCTCAGTGCACAGTGGGACCCACCGTCTATCATGGTGTTGCCCAGCTTCTACTTCGCTGGGATTCTGATTAGTCCAAGAACCACTCATTTGACAAAGGTCCTATTCTTCCATACAATCTGCATATTTCACTAGGTACATGGGATGACACGTGAATAAAGGACATTCAGGCATCTAGTGAAATAGGGAGAATCATAAAGGAGAGTCTTGACTCCACTCTTTACAGTCTCCCTCTTTCACCCAGGCTGGAGTGCAGTGGCACAATCTCGGCTCATTTCAACCTCTGCCTCCCAGGTTCAAATGATTCTCCTGCCTCAGCCTCCTGAGTAGCTGGGACTACAGGTGCTCACCACAACACGTGGATAATTACAGGTATTCGACTTATGACCTACGCAACTTACGACCATTCGACTTTACAACCACAATCGCTAGCCACAACTGCTCCGCGTCTGGCCGCGCAAACATTGCCCAGCTGGGCGTACGACAGTGCAGACCAGCTTCCGGCAGCACTACCATCTCTGCGTGCACCATTTCAACTGTACATATAGCCTATTCAACTTACAACCAAATCGTGTTATGACCGGTCTGCCGGTCCCAATCGTGGTCGTAAGTCGAGCTAGTGCTGTACTGGTTTTTGTTTGTTTGTTTTGAGACAGAGTCTTATTCTGTCTCTCAGGCTGGAGTGCCGTGGTGTGATCTCAACTCACTGCAACCACTGCCTCCCAGGTTCAAGTGATTCTCCTGCTCAGCCTCCCACGTAACTAGGACTACAGGTGCATGCCACCACACCCAGCTAATTTTGTTGTGTTTTTAGTAGAGATGGAATTTTGCCATGTTGGCCAGTCTGTTCTTGAACTTCTGACCTCAAATGATCTACCCTTCTCAGCCTCCCAGAGTGCTAGGATTACAAGTGTTAGCCACTGCACCCAGCCTAATTTTGGTATTTTTAGTAGAGAGTGGAGTTTCACTATGTTGGCCAGGTTGATTTCAAACTCCTCTCCTCAGGTGATCCGCCCACAAGCAGTCACCTGTAATCTCAGCTACTTGAGAGGTTGAGGCAGAAGAATTGCTTGGACCTGGGAGGCAGAGGTTGCAGTGAGCTGAGATCACGCCATTGCACTCCAGCCTGGGTGGCACAGTGAGACTCTGTCTCAAAAATAAAAATAAAAATTAGCTGGGCATGGTGACATGTACCTGTAGTCCCAGCTACTCCTAGCTACTTGGGAGACTGAGGCTAGAGGATCACTTGAGCCTAGGAGTTCAAAGCTGTAGGGAGCCATGATTGTACCACTGTTCTTCAGCCTGGACCAGTATCCTCAGGACTGTCAAGGTCATGAAAAACAAGGAAGACTGAGAAACTGTCACAGACCAGAACCGGCTAAAGCAACATGACTATTAAATGTACTATAGTATCCTGGATGGGATACAGGAACAAAAAGAGGACATTAATGGAAAAATTAATGAACTTCAAATAAAGTCTGGAGTTAATAATAATGTACCAATATTGATTTCTTAGTTTTGGCAAATGTATCATGGTAATGTGAGAAGCTAACAATGGCCATCTTTGCAACTTTACTATAAATCTAAAATTTCAAATGTTAAAGTTCATTTAAGAACTATTGTTCATCTTGGTTTTTTGCACTGATTCTCACAGGTGTTACAAAATGTGAATACAATGTTGTCAGCTGAGCCAAACCAGCCAGCTTTAGTGGTCATGGTGAAAGAAGGACTGGCCATTGGTCAATATTATGCTCACTTGGATTGATTTTTCCAAAATCTTTGTTGAATGTAAGAGAAACAAACATAAGGTCAATACAACTGAGTTAGACATAACAGCACAAGCATGAACCCTGAATGATGAGGATGAGTTAGGGGTGTCATGGACCATGTGTGTGCTTAGCCTTTGAACTGCAGCCCACCTCTGACACAAAGTCATGCAGTGACTTTGGGTGTCTCCTTTCTTTTCTTTTTTTTTTTTTTTTTTGAGACAGTCTTGCTCTGTTACCCGGGCTGGAGTGCAATGGCACAATCACCACTCACTACAACCTCCACCTCCCCAGCTCAAGCGATTCTCCTGCCTTAGTTGTAGTGCAGTGGCGCCATCTCGGCTCACTGCAACCTCTGCCTCCCAGGTTCAAGCGATTCTCCTGCCTCAGCCTCCCGGGTAGCTGGGACCACAGGCACACGCCTCCATGCCTGACTAATTTTTATATTTTTTGTAGTGACAGAGTCTTACTTTGTTGTTCAGGCTGATCTCAAACTCCTGAGCTCAAGAGATCGCCTGCCTCGGCCTCCCAAAGTGCTGGCATTACAGGTGTGAGCCACACCTGGCTGGGTGTCTTATTTCTAAACTTTAATCTGCTTGACCTTAAAATAAGGATAACAGGCTGGATAGAGTAGCTCATGCCCATAATCCCAACACTTTAGAGGGCCAAGGCAGGAGGATGACTTGAGCCTAAGGGTTCAAGACCAGCCTGGAAAATATAGTGAAACCTCATCCCTACAAAAAGTTAAAAAATTAGCTGTGCATGATGGTGCATTCCTATAATCCTAGCTATTCAAGAGGCTGAGATGGGAGGATCACTTGAGTCCAGAGGCAAAAGTTGCAGTAAGCTGAGATTGCACTGCTGCACTCCAGCCTGGGTGACAGAGTGAGGCCCTGTCTCAAAAATAAAATAAGGATAACAGAAGTACCTCCCTCAAACAATTGTGAGAATTGCTCAGCATAGAACCTCATGGAGCTTGTTATAGGGCCTGGAGGAATTTGACAAATTAATATTACTACTATTAGTTCCACCACTAAGGAAAGAAAAGCTTTACTATAGATCTTGTCTCCATTGCCCATAAAATAAAGCTCAGATTCCTTAGCATGACTTCTAAAGCCAATTATATCATATTCAAGCAGCTTAATTTCCTGCAACTATTCTTCCCACGCCCTAAACTGCAGCCCCAGTGAACTTTCCAGAGCTTTCATACTCGTTTTCTTTGCCTCAGTCTTCTCGGGTAGCTCATTCTTCACGACCTCACACCAGTGTCGCTTCTCTGAGAAGCAGTTCTTCAGTCTCCTGTGACATTCCTTGTCCCTTCCTCCTGTACACCCATGGAAGCGAACCTGTCTGTTATCACTCATCACCTTGTACTGCTGTTGTTTACCTACCTAGCACCTTTGCTAGGTATAAAAATTGGATTAGAAATCCTTACTACTTCATCTCCATATTCTTCTGGTGCTTGACACATCTTTTTTACCCAGAAAAACGATGAGTAAATTTAATGAATGTAAATAGAAGTACTGCAGTTGCTCATAATTGTTTTAGAGGGAATAAATTTAAAAAAATTGTTTTTGAGGATACCTGATGAAAATGGTTTTTATTTATTAAAACCTCAATTCATAGGAATGAAGTGTGATATTATCAGATGATATTTACTACTACTTTATTTACTATTTATCTATAAAACAAATTTAGTATAGTTCTTTGAGAAATTTGATCTTGCCTTTCTGTTTTTTTGTTTTGTTTTGTCTTCAAGGTTCCAATTACAGCCATCTCTTATATAACTTTTTAACTATATTTGGAAAAGTACTGGCCAGGAAATAAAAATGATAAAATTTTTCCTCATGGTGAATAAACAAGGGCAGACGCGACTTTCTAAGTACTATGAACATGTGGATGTTAATAAGCGTACACTTCTGGAAACAGAAGTCATAAAGAGCTGTCTCTCTCGATCCAATGAACAAGTAAGTCCCTGGTCCTCTCTTTTATCTCTGCATTCAGCTCAGCCTTGCAGATTTGTTATTACTGAGTCTCAGAGGCCACCATTTTCTTTGAGCTATATTCATTCAACAGCTTCTACAGGAAATAAGTGATGTGAAATGAAAACTGAAATAAGCGTAGCTCTCTTTACATCCATTTAAGAAAATAAAAATAAGGAAAACCTGAAAAATCTTGGTTTCTTATTTAAGTCAGCATACTTGTCTCAGTGTACCTCAGAAATGACAAAAAAAATTTCCTTCTGCTAATAAACATCTCTTCTGTTTTTGTTCATATGAATTCAGCCCTTGGAACTCTCATGAGTGCCTGTAGCAGCTGGCTTTCTATAAGCCAAAAAATGAAGGTGTCAGATGATTGGTATAGAGGTGAATACTGACGACCCATTTTGTGCCAGAGGATAATAATATTCTCAAATGGGATGGTTTTATTCTGCTTATTATTTTTGTGAATATACCACCAATATAATACTGATGCCAGTGATTTTAAAAACAAAACAAATTTGATTTTAACTTATTTTATTATGTACGTGGGGAAAATGGAAATTAAAAATTCATATGAAACAACAAATCTATCCATCTTCCAAAAGAGAGGTTAAGGCCAGGCACGGTGGATCACACCTGTAATTCCAGCACTTTGGGGGGCCAAGGCAGGTGGATCACCAGAGGTCAGGAGTTCAAGACCAGCCTGGCCAACATGGTGAAACCCCATCTCTACTAAAATAATAAATAAATAAATAAAATAAAATTTCAAATAGATTGTGTTTTCTTGAAAGATCCAGCTGAGCAGAGATCACCCTGGCTCTACAGAGAGCCAAAAGCTACAGAATGCTTCTGTACTCATTACCTTTATCCTAATTTTAAATAAAAGCCCGAATTCTTCCATTTTGTAGACTGTCAGATGGCTTTCCCATAGAGGAATTTCCATGATTAAAACTTGCAGCTTCATTCCCAGGTGCATCTGGGCACCCAAGAGCAACACATCCTGGTACATAAAGCCATAAATTTCATGTTCGATCACATTTGGTCAAGCACACCCTAAAGTCCAGAAGAAGAATAACCCTGTGCTTCTGCCCACTTTCCACCTCACATCCACTCAGCGCCTTCCTGTAGCTCTTTGTACAAAGACTATAGGAAAGGGATGAATGAGGCCGGGCGCAGTGGCTTACGCCTGTAATCCCAGCACTTTGGGAGGCCGAGGCGGGTGGATTGCTTGAGGTCAGGAGTTCAAGACCATCCTGACCAACATGGTAAAACCCCGTCTCAATTATATAAAAATAAAGAAAAGAGAAAAAAAAAAGGAAAGGGATGAATGAGAAGGGAGTTTTATCCATGTGTCGGTAGTAGGCTAGTTACTAATTCATAGGAAGCAATGTTTACAATGGGAGATTTTGTCTAGCGTCTGCCACAAAAAGGCCATCTTTAAATAATATATAAAATAATCTACATGGCTTCTTTTCATGGGCCTAGGAAAAAGCAACCAATTTTTGTTTGTTTGCACTGTGTATTTGGCTCCTCAATGACTATTAAGTAGTACAAAACTGAGAATATCTAATAGTTTCCAAAAAAGTCTTGGGGAAGTGAGCAGAAGAAAATCTTCTTTATCATGTTTGCGTAGTTTTGCTTCAGAGGAGCTTCAAAATGCTGATTATTAATGATCTTTGCCTGCTGAGTTCTACACAGAGCCAGGCAAAGGAATGAGAAGGAGCACAAGTGGGAACCCATGTGAACACTCAGAATTTTTTCCGAGACTTCTCCGGTTCCCGCTAGAGGTGCTTCCAAGTGGTCCCCTGAATATTGTAAAAAGGCCACCAATGGTTGTGTCACATCTTAATGTTCTATATTTCTAGGAATGTTTGTCAGATACTCAAATCAGAACCTAGAACTTGTGCATGACATTTTAAAGAACTCTCTCTCAACCATAGTAATAATATCTCATTGTGTTTTGTCTAGTGCTCTTTCATTGAATTTAAGGATTTTAAGCTGATATATCGGCAGTATGCAGCTCTCTTCATTGTAGTTGGAGTAAATGACACTGAGGTAAGGTAACAGAAGAGTCCTTGGAAAATGCAAGAATTTCTATTTGCCTCCTTAAGAATTATGACTCTCTTGATTTTTTTTTTTTTCCCCAAGAGACAGGCTGGAGTGCAATGGCACAGTCATAGCTTACTGCAGCCTTGAATTCCTGGGTTCAAGCAATCTTCCCATCTCAGCCTCCTGACTAGCTGGGCTGCGACTACAGGCTCACACTGTCAAGCCCAGCTAATTTTTTCCTTTTATTTTTTTTTAGAGACGTGGTCTCACTGTGTTACTCAGGTTGGTCTAGAACTGACTTCAAGCAGTCTTTCTGGCTTAGCCTCCCAAGTAGCTGGGAATACAGGCACAAGCCACTATGCCTGGCTGGGATCTTGGTTTCTTTTCTTTTCTTTTTGAGACAGAGTTTCGCTCTTGTTGACCTGGCTGGCATGCAATGGCGTGATCTCAGCTCACTGCAACTTCTGCCTACTGGGTCCAAACGATTCTCCTGCCTCAGACCCCCGAGTAGCTGGAATTATAGGCACACGCCACCATGACCAGCTAATTTTACATTTTCGGTAGAGACAGGGTTTCTCCGTGTTGATCAGACTGCTCTCAAATACCCGACCTCAGATGATCTGCCCGCCTCAGCCTCCCAAAGTCCTGGGATTACAGGCATGAGCCACCATGCCCAGCGGATCTTGGTTTCTAGCAAGGATGGGGAAAGCTGTGTGGAAGAGAAATATCTGGGATATTTCTTGGATTAGATGAGCAGCTTACAAAATAGAGAAGCCCGAAAACACAGAATGCCTTCTCCTGTCCTAAGCAATACCAGTGCCCTGCCTTTGTTCTGTTGCACAATGAAACAGCTCAGATAAGTATAGAGGCCAACTGATTTTGGCATTAGACATGGGCTGACATATCAAAAGCCAGAGAAAACTATAAAGATGATTGTATTGTAATTACGTCTCCTCAGATTTATTTCACAAATGCCAGTCCCAGTTCAATAGCACTTATGGCCATGGAATCCCTCAAAGGATGTTTTAGATCTAACTGATATATTGGTTCATTGTTTTTATCCATGAACCAAACTTTGAAGTGGTTTCCCCATCTTCATAGATAGAAAAATGATGGCATGAAGAACCTGAAAAATTGCTTCAGCCAATTTGTGGTAAAGTCAGGAAACATCGCTAAGAACTCTGAATACTAGACACTAAGATTTTAATCTGGCTAGATGCATCATGGACTTAAAAAAATATATTTCTTTTAATTTTTTTTAAGACAGGCTGTCACCCATAATTTTTTTAATGCAGTGGTGCCTTCAGGTCTCACTGCAGTCTTGACCTCCTGGTCTGAAGTGATCCTTCCACCTCAGCCTCACGATCCCGACTACTTGAGACTACAGGCACGCACCAACATACCTGGCTATTTTTACTTTTATTTATGTTTTTATTTTATTTCTTTATTTATTTTGAGATGGAGTCCCACTATGTCACCCAGGCTGGAGTGCAGTGGCACAATCTCGGCTCACTGCAATCTCAGCCTCCCAGGTTCAAGTGATCCTCCCGGGTTCAAGCAGTCCTCCTGCCTCAGCCTCCTAGTAGCTGGGATTACAAATGCATGCCACCATGCCTAGCTAATTTTTGCATTTTTAGTAGAGATGAGGTTATGTTGGCTAGGCTGGTCTTGAACTCCTGACCTCAAGTGATCTGCACACCTTAGCTTCCCAAAGTGCTAGTATTACATGCATGAGCCACTGTGCCTGGCCTATTTTTTATTTTTTTGTAGTGAAGAGTTCTCATTATGTTGCCCAGGCTCATTTTGAACTCCTGGGCTCAAGTGATGTGGCAATGACAGTTGTGAGCCACCACTCTCAGTTTCCAGGCTCACTCTGTTTCCCAGGCTGGAGTATAGTGGTGCCATCATAGCTCACTGCAGCCTTGAACTCCTGGGCTCAAGCCATCTTCCTGCCTCAGCCTCCTGAGTAGCTGAGACTTACAGGCACACACTACCACACCTGGCTAGTTTTTAAATTTTTCATGGAGACTGAGTCTTACTATATTGCCTCGGCTGGTCTTAAACTCCTGGCCCTAAGCCATTCTCTTACTTTGACCTCCCAAAGCGCTAGATTATAGATATGAACCACCACACCTGGCCAAAAAAAAAAAAAAAAACCCTAAAGGTTAAGGTTTATCTACATTTCCCCGATTGATAAGCATTTTTTAAACAAGTGAGTGATAGAGTGGTTCTGAATATTTATCAGTGGAGTCTACTTTCCTCACATTATCTGTTCACTAAGCCAAGTGCTCTAAAACCTGGAAGCTGACTGGGAAGTTCTATGTCCAGTTTACATGAGGGCCACGCTAAAATTGACTGTATCTTATTTCTTTTATTTCAGAACGAGATGGCTATTTATGAATTCATTCATAACTTTGTGGAAGTTTTAGATGAGTATTTCAGCCGAGTGGTAAGTCTAATAGCTAAAAGATGGTTTACTTCCTCAACTCAGTTTCCGAGAAATTGAGTCTCTTTGGATCTATATCGAGAACATGTGTTAAGACCGGGCATGCCTGTAATCCCAGCGCTTCGGGAGGCTGAGGCAGATTGATCAGCTGAGATCAAGAGTTCAAGACCAGGGCCGGGCGCGGTGGCTCAAGCCTGTAATCCCAGCACTTTGGGAGGCCGAGGCGGGTGGATCACGAGGTCAAGAGATCGAGACCATCCTGGTCAACATGGTGAAACCCCGTCTCTACTAAAATACAAAAAATTAGCTGGGCATGGTGGCGCGTGCCTGTAATCCCAGCTACTCAGGAGGCTGAGGCAGGAGAATTGCCTGAACCCAGGAGGTGGAGGTTGCGGTGAGCCGAGATCACGCCATTGCACTCCAGCCTGGGTAACAAGAGCAAAGCTCCGTCCCAAAAAAAAAAAAAAAAAAAGTGTTAACAGAGTTTTAATAAGTAAAAGATAAAATTTAAATTATGCCAAATTTTCTTTATCTTTCCTTCTGGTCTATCCAAAGTGTTACAAGCCTACATACACCTGAGATCTTTATAAAGAGCTGGAATAAAAACCCTCATTTATTTTTCTCCCAGTTATGAGCTTTTGCGATCTAACTTGCCCTCTCTTTTCTTCTTCTTTCTGCTTTCTTTCCTAAGACACCAGTACCCTTTTCACCTCAAGAAACATTTCCATCCAAACCCTTATTTTGAGGGTCAAAAGTCAATTCCCCTTAAGGAAATATGTGAGCTCTTTTTCAAAAGTCTTTTTTAAAGCCATTTTAATAGCTATATTGAAATATATTTTATGTATAATACAGTTCACCCATTTAAAGTGTATAATTAAGCTGGGTATGGTGGCAAGCACCTGTAGTGCTAGATAGGAGGATGAAGTGGGAGGATTTTAGGAAATTTCATCACTTGACAAAGAAACATCATACCCATTAGCATTTCCCCCTCATTATCCCCCTCTACCCACTGGTCTTTCTTTTTTTCTTAGTAACTGTTTTTTATTTTTATTTTTTATATTGATACATAAGAGATGTAGATATTTTCAGGATACATATGACAATTCCATACATTCATATAATGTATAAACCAAATCAGGATAATTAGGATCTCCATCACCTTAAATATTTATATTTCTGATCTTTTTTTTTTTTTTTTTTTTTTTAGACAAAGTCTCACTCTGTTGCCCAGGCTG